GGTGTTCTGTAGGCTTCTTGTATTTTCATTGGTATGTCTTTCTTTAGGTTGTGAAAGTTTTCTTCTATGATTTTGTTGAATATGTTTTCTGTGCCTTTGAGTTGGATTTCTTCACCTTCTATACTTGTTAGTCTTAGGTTTGGTCTTTTCACTGTATCCCATATTTACTGGATATTTTGTGATAGGGATTTGTTGTCCTTAAGATTTTCTTTGGTTGATGAATCTATTTCCGCTAGTGTGTCTTCAACTCTTGAGATTCTCTCTTCCATCTCTTGCATTCTGTTGGTTATGCTTACATCTGTAGTTCCTGAACATTTACCCAGCTTTTCTATTTACAGCATTCCCTCAGATTGTGCTTTTTTATTGTCTCTATTTTAGTTTTTAGGTCTTAAACTGTTTCCTTGAGAGCTTTGTTGATATCTTGTATTTTTTGGTTAGTTTTTTCTTCCATTTTTTAAGGGATTTTCTCATGTCCTCTTTGTGGTCCTCTATCATTTTCATGAAGATGCTTTTAATGTCATTCTCTTTGGTTCATCTGCATCATGATGTTCAGGTCTTACTGGTGTATGGTTCTTGGTCTCCGGTGGTGTCATATTGTGTTTTCTGTTGTTGGATGTGCTTTTACTTTGTCCTCTTCTCATGCTTTCTCCTAGTGGGTGTAGCAAGAGTTTCTTGTTCTCCTGGTGGGTTTGCATCTTCTGGTAGATGCAAACAGATTTAATACTCTGATGTAGGTCCTCTTTTCGTGGATGGAGGTGTCATTGTTACATGGGTGTCGGCAGTGTTCGGGCATGCCAGGTCCTGCTGGGCCAGCAGTTGGAGGCAGAGCTGTCACTGGGCCTTGTTGTGTGGGATCCCGCTGTTGAACTCCGTTCAGCACGCAGGTTGCTTGTATCAGATGACTCTGAGCAGCGATGACAAACAGGAGCCAGAAACATCTACTGGCCTACCTGGGCCGGCAGATGGAGGCCAGGCTGCTTCTGGGTGTCCGGTGTTCAGAACCCACTGCCGCCGAACTGGTGCCATCACACATGTTGCTTGCATCAGATGACTCTGAGCAGCGATGATCTATAATTTATTTTTAAATGCACTGCATTATTTTGATACAAATAATGCTTGATCAATAGTTTTCTTCTATAAGAGCTGATTTTCTTCTGTTTATCATTTGAAAATAATAGTTAATGTTGACTTTTAAGTATGCTAATTGATATATAAGGACTATGTATTGTGACATCTAGTATATATGATAGTAGTATTTATATCGTATCAACTGTCATTTAATTACTATATATTATGCTTTCATAATGCTACCAGGCATCTTCATCTTTCCACAAGTAATCCTGGGTTGTGACCAATGTGCCACTTCCTTCCTTTTTCTGTCAAACCAGCCAAAGTCCAGAAGGAGATTGACCATGTGATTGGTAGAAACAGAAGCCCCTGCATGCAGGACAGGATTCACATGCCTTACACTGATGCTGTGTTGCATGAGATTCAGAGATACATTGACCTCCTTCCCACCAGCCTGCCCCATGCAACAACCTGTGACATGAAGTTCAGAAACTATCTCATTCCCAAGGTAAATTTCCTTTGTCTACACTGTACCTTTATGATCTTGATTTCAAATGAGTGAGTGAAATTAAATCATAAACCCAAGATATTAGGTCTTGCAATTTCAGATTACCAATTCTGAAGAGAAAGTTATAAAAACCTTCAGGGAGATTAAGCTAAACAAGCTGCAAATGTATATTTACAAGTAGACTGTGACTGGTCCAAATTTTCTGTCTCCACAAGATAGGAGAAATAACACACTTTAAATCTGGAAGCTGGATTGATTTTATGCTATTTCCAGTAAGAGATAATACAATTATAGAACAAATGTTTGTTTGTGGAACTGTATGTCTCCCAAATGTACTCTCCATTTAAAACCACTTGACTGTTTACACTTTCAAATAAAACATAA